TTTCAGTATAGATCGATATTGTTACCTTCAGCCTACAAGAAAAATTTTGCAATGCGCTAGCGTTTCTTAATATGTCAGGCAGTGCTGGCTCAACCTGCTTTCCTTCCTGGAGTTTAGAGCAGCATAGCCACACCCGAATCTTTTTCTAATAAAATTAACATTTCACTACATACTCAATCAATTCAAATTTGTTCTTTGAGTTAAGATTTTTTTCTTTTGATTGCAATTTGCCTTATTAATAATTTTCGCAATTAATTTAATGAAAGAAATTTTTTTCAAGCAAATGCTTTGACGTTCTTTTAATCCAGAAATAAAAATGAAGTCTTTAAGGAATCTATTACGATATAACAGCTTCATTAACCCTAAGGGGCGTATCTCGGCCACATAACTTTGTGAGATGCCGGGCGTATTCAGAAGCGACAAATCAAGATTATTAAAAGACAGGCAAATATGATATTTCATGGGTATAAAGTTTAGTTTCTTTGTTCAATTGTAATTATAACAAATTTATGTAAGTTTTTATTTTCACAAGAAATTGCAATAAAGAGTGAGTTTTATAACAGTTTTCTTTTTACTTCTTTATGTTGATGTTTTTTTTTTGTTGTTATGTTTATGTTTTTTGTTATGTTTTTCAGTTGAGTTCGAAGTTACAAGAATCTAAAGGTGAAGGACGGTATATCAGAAATTTAGTATCATGATACAAAAAAATCAATATTTAACGATGTATCGAATCTAACTGATTTTGATTAGCAGTATTTTTAACGGTGATATTTATTTTAAATTATTTTTCTTTCCCAGCAGAAGAAAAATCTTTCACTTTTTTTTAATCACATTGAAAGAAAAAAAGGAAGTATTGTAGCTAGTACATTCACGGCAATTATCGCGTTATTCACCTATTCTAGATTTACGGTACAGTGATCGCGATATTAGCGTATACTCGATATTTACCTTAAGATATAGTATTGTCGATATATTAAAAAAATTCACTGTAAAATACCGAAATAGAATATATATATATATATAAATAAGACATTGATATTCAATAGACTTAGTTTATCATACAGAAAATTTGTGAAAAAAGATTAGCATCATGAACTATGTCAACTGAACTCATTAATATTTAATTGTCACCGAAAATGCTTGAGGTAAACACCTACAATTCTATATTGTAGTGGTATTCTTTTTTTTCTTCTATTTTTTGAAAACGATATACATTTACTAATAATTAATCATATCTTCTGACTAAATTAAGCATAAATCCGGGTTAAATTAAAGAGTGCAATAATTGATAAAAAAGTATTTGATAAAATATGATAATATAAAGTTCAATCTATGATAAAAATCAATTACAGGTGTCGACTTCATACAGCTTGATAATGTTAAAATCTCTCTAAAATTTTAAGATTCTCCCCCCCCCCTCAATCCCACATGCAAATTTCTAAAATATAGTAAAAATTAAAGTAAAAAGTAAATTAAAATAAAAGTAAAAAAAAAACTGTTTAGAATTGTTAATAAATACTTTGTTTGAACTAACCAACTTTCTAAATTCATATTTCTGTAAATATACTACCAAAATATTTGATTTATTAAAAAATATTTAAGTTATCAAATTTTATGTTTAATATTTTTAAGTAGGGTTGCATAATTCCCTTGTAAAATACTTTTTATTGTTGTCATTTAATTCTTAACTTTTTATTTAAAAATTTTTTACATGTTCGTTCGCGTAGTAGTGTAATGGTTAAAAAAGAAAAAGAAGTAGATTTTGAAGAAATTTTTTTTAATAAGTAGTTGTGCACATTTAAACTATATAAACGTTATAGAAATGAAACCGTTTTCGTTTATTTTGTTGTAAAGATGTAGATTAACTAGATTCTATTTTTTAACATTTTAATTAATATTTATTTTAATAACATTTTTATTCAAGTACTTTTTACCAACGTTTTCAAAAAACTGACAGTTAATTTCAGTTGAGTCTAAATTGATAAATTTTTTTAACTTGTTTCATTATATTTATATTATAATTATAAAGAATAATATAGACGTATTACAGTAAGATATAATATAATCTTATACTATATATATAAAAAATTGGATTTATGACATGAACTTTTTGTAAGTGATTATTTAAGTAAATGGCGAGATTTTTCCTTAAATATCATTTAAGTTTAAAAAAAAAAAGAGTTATTTATTTATTTTTGACGGAGGTACGTATTAACTTGATTTAAATCGCGTCAGGAAAAAAAAATTAGTCAAGTAAATTGCTTTACTGGTTCAACAGTAAAGCAATACCACCAGTTTTTTCTTATTTGTTTTTTTATTTTTAAATTATTTTTTAATTTTCAAAAACAATGTTTTTAAATATACTGTCATTCAAAGTTTTAAGTATATTATCTCATTTTAGCATCCGAATCCATATTGTTTCAAAATTCCAATTATATGTTTTTGAAAAATATGTTTTTTTTTTAATATAAAATACTAATTATACTCGTCAATTGTTATACGAAAAGGTTTTATCATTTATTTTTACTATTTTTTGTTTATTTAAAAACAGTTTTGCCCATTCACTATTTATTAACTTGTTTTCCTTTTTACCTCGTTGCATTCACTCACTATAAAAACAAACCATGTAAGATATCATTTGGTAAATTCCTTAAACACCAACAGAAAATATTAAATAATGTTTTCTTAATAAAGGAAATTTGGTAAATGTTAAATTACGACAAAAATAGATTAAATGGCACCATAAAAGGAATTATTTTATTATGAAGTTATTATTAGGTAAACTAAATTTAAAGTGGCCAGTCGTCATAGTTGAGATAAATATTACATTTCGCTTGTTACTGTTAAATAATACATGACAGCCACAATAGTCAATATTTTCTTAACCCACATTAAATTAGGCTTTTAAACACATAATAAAATAACAGTTTATTGTTTGAAAGTTTTGCAATAAAAAGAGCCGTAAGCTAAAATTTACACAAAAACATAACGAAATTTATTACGACAGCTTACATTTTGTGATGATTATATAAACTTAAAAAAAAAAAAAAAAAAAAAACTGTTTTACTTTAAAAAAAAATATATATATATATTTATCTTTATTTCGCCAATACATTTATTGAAAAAAAAATTAAAACGAATTAAGTCTTTATGGCGAATTAACTAAAAGATACAAGTAAAAAAAAAGGAAAATAAAAAAGGTAAAAGCTGTGGAAAATTTGATATGTTAAAAGGGGTATGTTATAAATCAAATCTGCACTTTCGAGAAAACAAAAAAAAAAACTGTAAATTGTGGAAAAATTGTTTTCAACTTATTGGATTTTCTTCTTTAGGTTGTCTAGAAAATTACTCGGTAGAGTTCAGTTCATTTTTGGGTTTTCTCGAAAGTGCAGATTTGTAACACATTACTTTTAACATTGACCGCTTCATTTATGATTGACTGTAGTTCATATATTTTTTTTTACAACGACTTCGCTTTTAAAAAGACACTTTAAAATTTAAATAATGTATTTATTTCATCATAAATACGTATTTAACAGTCATTGCAATAGCGTTATTTCTCTTTGCTTATTAAAACTAATAATAATCTATATATATATATATATTTCTCTTACACGGCGACAAAAAAAAACCTCGTTGCAACTCCCCGAATGGCAACGCTAGAAAATCGACCAATGATTGCCGCTAAAAATGTCACATGCCAAATCTAGTGAGGTGACTCAACATATAGCGCTTATAAAAACGGAAACTGAAATAACAATTCAGCTGCGGAAATCTCATACTATTAAGCTAGGCAGAAGTGAGTGGTCTTTGTCAATAGATCTCTATATTAGTATTTTGTCGAAAGCGCTTTTTTTTTACGAATTTATTTGACGATTTTTGATTTATATCACAAATTTATTTGTTTTATTATTGTTATTAGTTATTCATTGAAAAATGAGTCTCAGTCAATGAGTCTTTATTTGAATTCAAATTTATTTTAATGACTTAATATTTACTAAAAAGATGTAATTTTTTTTTAAAAAAAAATGTTGTTATATGGATTTGAATGATTGTTTTGAATTTTTAGAATTTTGTGCATTTGCAATGTACCTAAATTAGTAGCGAGCGAAGCTAGCTTGGTTTGCGAATCAAACCATATAAGATTACGTAGTAATTTTCGGGGGTTGGCGAGCGTTAGCGAGCAGGGTGGGGGGCAGCCCGCTAGTAAAAAGAAAAACTTGAAAATTTCAGAATTCCTTCAATTTTTTCAAAAAACATAAATATATGGCTTAACATTGTTGGCAATAAGATATTCAAAAACAAAAGAATTGCCATTTTGATATTTAAATTTGAAAGATTTTTTTTTCTTCTGGCTTAACTTAATACTAGAAACACTGAAACTTAGTATATACCTATACTGCCCAAAAGCAGTCAAAATGACTGCGTTGTGAAAGAAATTTGTTTAATTAATTTGCAGTATTATTTACAGTTATATAACAAGTTATTAGTAAATATTAACAATAAAAAAAATGTACTTCACTTGGAAAAAAAAATTATGCATTATTATTTATACATTTTTTGCAAAGCAGTCGTTAAGCATTAAAGCAAATTAAAAGCAGTTAAAAAGCAGTCGAAATGACTTCCTTGGGCAATCTAAAGTTAAGCATCTCAGCAAAGTCATTTGCTAGTTGCTCAAAATGTCTAGGACGATGAAGCAAATAGGGCAGACAAGTGACTTATGACACCCACATATGTTTTACTTATGACACTATAATAATCTATAACTGTTTTGCAGAAAATAATTGTAAATTGAGAGTGATAGATAAAAAAATTTAAATACAATAAAAGATACATGAAAATAAAGTATTAATTAAAATAAAACACTATAAATGTATTAAGGATAATGGAAATTCGAGTATCGTAAAACAGATAAATGAAAGAAATGTTTTAAAAAATCAGATAAAAGAAAAAATAATGTAAATAATAAAAATATAATAAAATCAATAAAAAATCCTTACCTGCCAAAGAAATGGTCAGCATCAAAAAATAAACTATATATTGACAAATGTGTTTCATTGTCCTGTATAGAATTATACACAACTTTTACAATATGTTCTTTAATTTGTACATGTAATCTATTGGAAACACCAATTTTGAACTAATTATTTATTATTTTATTTTTATGAAAAATGAAAATGCTAAAACTCAAAATTTTCACTAAAAATGGAATTCAATGTATAAAATTTTGAAGATTGATCTCATTTAGAAATTCAAAATTTCTGAAGTCAGAATTCAACCGCGATTTAAATCATTCTGAAACTTAACACTTAGGCAATTAAAAAAACAATTCCATCCATCTCAAAAATGGAATTCGATACCTTACTTTTCTTAACGAAAATTTTGACTTAGAAAATATAAAAGTGTCAAAACATAAGAACGGAATTCGACACACGAAACCTCAATTTTCTAAACTGATCTGATTCAGAAACTCTAAACTTCGCGCGTCGGAATTCAACCACGATTTGTTGTAAAGGGAAGATGCGTTTAGATGAAGAGCTTGTTTTGTTTCTTCAGCATGTCAAGGTAAATTACTGTGAGAGCTTCGCAAAGTAGTTTTCTCATTTTGTTATGTAAAACTTGCTATTAATGAAAAACAACCGAGCTGACAGTCTTTAGTTAGGTCACGAAGCATTATGCTTGTTATTTAAGGGAAGAGCCTGAAAATTTAAATTTTCAATGAGTCTGTGACAGATATCGATAGGTCCTTTTTAACTTAATATCCACTTTTTGTAAACTTTCTTTTTTGTTTGGATTAAATTTTATTTAAAAAAAAATCATATTAGCATAATACATTTAATGTATATGTGACCGGCAAAGTATGAAATGTCGGCATTATATATAATGTCTGACGTTTTTAGGCAAAGTATGAAATATGATAAGTATTATCTACTTTGCCTAGGCATTATATATAATGCCGGATGCTATTTAGGTAAAGTATGAAATAAAAGTCCTGATGAGGTTATTATGTAAATGATGTGCATGTTACTGTGAATGACCGAAATCGGTGGTTCTTGACTTTCACCGGTGAATGTTGACAATCACATAGTCGCTTGGTGAATGTCCGAAATATTTATTACATCTGATTTGATATTAATTTATTCATGGATATAATTACATTTATTCGATATTTTAATACTTACTAATGATAGATTGGAAGAAACATCAGTGTTTGGAGTATCGGGCAAATGCATACCGGGCAGTGGCATTTGACCTTAAAAAAACATCAGTGTAGGGTATACCGGTTAGTGGCACCATAGATATAAAGGCCCCTATATTAGTCCCTGGTGGCACTTAACTAGACCTAGTACATATTTCGGACATTTACCAAAGGTCTAGTTAAGTGCCACTGCCCGGTATACCCTACACTGATGTTTTTTTAAGGTCAAATGCCACTGCCCGGTATACCCTACATTGATGTTTTTTTAAGGTTCAGTGATACTGCCCGGTATTTATCGTCTAATCTATCGTCAGTAAGTATTAAAATATCGAATAAATGTAATTATATCCACGAATAAATTAATATCAAATCGGATGTAATAAATATTTCGGACATTCACCAAAGCGACTATGTGATTGTTGACATTCATTGGTGAAAGTCGACATTCTCCAGATTTTGGTTAGTATCTGAGACGTATTTTATAATTTGCGCCTTTATCGACAGCGAAGATATGCTAGGATATTTTCAAACATCAGCAGTTTTGTTAAGTGTTTCATAATTTTTTATTTCCTCTGCGAAACTAAGTACATCAAAATAATAGAGCAAAATATGTTCTCTTTCATTAAAAAAAAAAAAAAACGCATTTGAAGTTAAAACCAAAATGATAAATTAGCTATCATTCCTAATGGCTAGATTAAATATTTGTCATTAAATATAACATGTACTTGAATAGCTAGGTTAAGGAATAGTCATTATGCATAATTGCTTTAAGATTATTCATTATCATTGATTGATTAATTTAGTCATAACTTTATGTATAGCATTAATGTACGAAAATTAGGAAATATAATAGTTGAGAAAAAAAGTAAAAAATACTTTGTTGAATATTTTTTGTTTTGTTTTTGATTTCCTTCTTTACTATTGCAGCATGCAGTATTAGATGCAATTTTTGGATGCAGAATTAGATGTAAATTTTGGATGCTTCATTAGATGGTAATTTTTATAACGCTCAACCGCAATTACATTTTCACTCACTCTGCTTAAGAAATGCATCAATCAGATTAAAAAAATTAGTTGGTTCAAACCTCGATTCTTTACTAAATAATGTAATAAATTGTAACCAAAAATCGCTACAAACAAACTACAGTTTTTGGGTATCACATTACTACTTTTTTTAAAAAAAAAGAGTAGCGTACTACATTACAAACTACAAAAAAGTAGCTACAGTTGTTTCGCTACTTGTAAAGCACTACTTCCGACCCCAGGTCGTTGGATATCCTTGCAATAGCTCTGTGTTAATTTTTCTTACCTAAAATGTCCAAGTTGCATGTTCACGTCCAAAATTGTGATTTTCAAAAAATCTAATTTTTAATATTTCATTCACAAGGTGATGATGATATACACTTAATAAAAAATTACATACTGAAACTGAAGATAAAAACATATTCAGATGAATAAAATGTTAATTCAAAAACATAAAAATTACCTTTCTTGTAAACTAAAAAAATTTTAATAAAATTTAATAATTCATACATTTTTTCCTAGTTAATTCAAACATTTTTTAGAAAAAAAAACTTAATTATATCATGTTTATAAAATTATTTATGTCATATTTACATCTTATCCTTTAATCATAAAGAAAGCACTATTAAAGTGCTTTGATTTTCTAAGTTTGTACAATAATAAAATACCTTTAAAATATTTTTGGATACTTAAAAACGTATAAATAAGCAATTAAATATTCATGCTTTTTTTAAAAATAAAAACAAACTGAAATTTTCTTGAGCATTAAGACTAATAATAAACTAATTAATCAATTTTGGTTTACTTAGCTTATGAAATTACGCCCTCTCACTCGTACAAATAGTGTAAAAGTTAATGCGATTTATGGAGAATTGCAGTTTATAGAATTGCCTTATATAGATCTTTTACTGCACAATAAAACAAAAATATGCTGCTTTTTTAAATAAATAACTTTAATTAATCAAGCACATTTTAAGAAAGCAACAATAACTACTCATTGTAATTTTTTATAAACAGTTTATATTTTTTATATGAAAAGGACACAAATTTATACTTAAGATTTTCATAATGGAAATATATACATGTATATGGGAATAGATTGTGCTTAAAAAAATTATTTTGAAAAAGTTTTTTAAAATGATGAGTAAAATTTGAAAACAATGTATCTTTTGCAAATATAAAATGTTTCATTGTACAGCAATAAAATAAATGACAGGTACTAAGGCAAACTTTTATGATAGACAAAGGAAATTTAAAAGTTTTGTGAATCGTCTTTTCCAGTTCTCTTGTTTAGTTTGATGCTCGTAAAGTTCTGAATTGGAATGCAGTTTACATGGTTTTTTAAATAAAAAATATAAGTAACAGTAATCATATACTTTACACATTTACATAAAGAACTTAGAAAATAATTAATCTACATATTTACACTAAGAAGCATAGAACAATATGCATATAATTCTTTATTCTTTTAAATTCTTCTTTAGATCACAATTCTTTCTTTACTTTTTTTTTTTCATGATGTGATTTTTAGATAATTTTTTTGGTATAAATAATATTTTCTATTGATTGAATTAAATATACACATAGTAAGATCCAGCGAGATTGGTTTTAATTGATTATTTTTTTTAAAAACACTTTTGAGTAAGTATTGAGTGATGCATATGATTGATTATACTAAGAAAGTAGTCTGATTTGTAATTTACAAGTACAAGAAGCAGATAAAAGTATTTGAGATGGTAGATAGTGTATTAAAGTTCCATTTATGATCAAACAAACTTTGAAGATAAGTAACAAAATTTAAATAATGAATAATATAATAAGATCCCAATATTTTTGCAACAATATAAATGTAAGTAAGAAAAGAAAATGTTACACGGTTTTATATCATAAGTTTACAAGGATCTTCAATCATTCTCGAGTTCATTTTTGGTAATTCTTCAGAGAAACATAGCTGTACTTCGCCGGGCCCTTGAAACATTCACCTCCAGCAGAGCCTCTAGGAAAATTAATCGCTTAGGACCCCAAAGTTTCGCATATCATTTCTTGTCCTTTTTTGAGTTTAATTCTTGAAAAAATAAATTTTTTTTCGGTAGCTTTTTAAAAAAATATTTTATAGGATCACTTCATCTGTACTGGAATAAGGGCCCTTGGAAACAAGCAAAATAATCATCAATGGATTGCTGAAAAAATCTTATTTTCTTTTTTAATAATTTTGATTTTTTATGAAGGATTTTTGCAAGGGGCCCTTAGAAGTATGGATATTACTGCATTCTTTTCAATTTTATCAATATTATATAAGATATCATGACGCACGGTGGCTGAGTGGTAGCGCTTCGCGCTGTCACAGTCCCTGGTTCGATCCTCGGGCCGGGCAAGGTTGATTCAGCCCTTCAGTGGGTCAATAAATGAGTACCAAGCATGCTTGGGAACTAAACACTGCGGGTTCCGCGTTCAGCTGACCACCTGACTGGAACATCTGCTCCTATACCCCAAAGTTCAAGGTCAAGAAAACTGAGATGGTCACAGGCCTTGGCCCTTTATGGGCTGTCGCGCCACTGAGTTTAGTTTAGTTTAATATAAGAAATCAAGGTTTACAAGTTTAAATACTAGAAATAAACTTACTTTCTAAAAAGGAAATTTTAATGTATACTAAGTTTTTTCTTCTTCATATACTATACATATGGGGTTTCTGGGCAAATGCCGTGCTAGCACTACATGTATGACAGTTTTGATTTTTCACTTATTAAATAAATTTATAATGATGAAGGTGTAAGTTTTTAAGTAATAAATGTTTTATGATGGCACAATTTGCATACATCTTTTGAAAAGTGCATATATTTACACATAGAAATCCTTCATTTGAATAGCTATATATAGCAATTCTGAATGTTGTGCAGCTCAAAAACAGTTTCAAAAATTCTGAAACTTTTAAAAACAATAATCAAAGTGATATATAAAAATGTGAAGTGGAAAAAATGAGATGTTCAAAGTATAAATTACTAAATCTTATGAACAAAGCTGGACAGAAAATTTACAAAGCTTTTATGGAATTCTTAATTACAGAAGAACACTTCAGTTTGTGTTACTTAAAATATTCATGAGCATTGATAGCAGTTACAGTCAGAGTTTTTAAATAAGAAATTCGAAAATTTCTTAAAGAAAAGTTAATTTTCTTCCGATTTGATGCATCAATTTACACGTGTGAGTAAAATTTCAAGCCAATCTTTACAAAATATTAATGTTATGAATTTTACCACTTTGAAGAAATACAATTATTTTAAATTCCTCTCAACTTGCAAAAACATCAATGGTAATTAGATTGGATTCTCAGCAGGACATGGCAAATAAATAGTAATTCAATAAATGACTATGATTTCAATGGTGGTGATATGACAACAAATGATTTTAAGATATATGTTAGATATTTTTGCTCAAATTTTTAAAAATCCAATTGAATTTTTGATGAAAGGCACAATATCTTAAATTATCTTGACTATGATCCTCATTATTTTATAAATTGTCTGGAATGCCATTCCCACTGCTTCATGAATTGTCTGAACGGCCAGTTATGCTGCTTTATTATCTGATTAAGGTGTCATCGTTTTTACACGCACAACTGAACCATTCATGCCTTGTAGTTTTTCAGAGGGTCTTTTTGGTTGTAACGCTTCATTGGAAACTCTAACATTAGTCGCTTGTTTCTTTCGGAAGAAAAAGAAGGCAAACATCATGATGATGAAGATTCCCATCAAAACAGTCACTACAATTCCCACAATAGAGCCAGTTGAAAGTCCTGCGAAAAGAAAAATGTTTATTATTTTTTTTAAAGATAAACATACAAGCTGGTTTTTATGCAAATACCTTTTTTTTAAAAATAAAATAACGCAAGTGTATTTTGCACTTTACTAAAAATTTTCTTTGCACATGAAAGCCTGTAATCTGTCTTATCATATAATCAGCAGAATTCCCTTTTTATAAATATGGATGGTGTTTTCACTATAAATGTAAACAATAAAAATCTTGAGCTCAATACCTGCTCTAGTTCCAGTTAGAAAGTTTGCAACTGCTTACTACAGCTTCTTCTGTGAGGCAATATTTTCAAACGGATAGTTTTGTTTTCAATAAAAGAAGTATATTAGATAATTTCTGAGCTCAAATCTGCCGTATTTCATAAGATATTAATGTTATTAAGTAATTCTAGTGAGTTTATAGTGAAAATTTGCTTTAGATATTTATAGATATATTGTTAAAAAAGGTGCATGGTTGCTAGATTTTGAATAACTTGCTTTTTTGGCAGTCCTGATTTGGCCTCTTTCCATTTGTTTATTACTGTTTGTTCTTGTTGCAAGCTGTGCGCCATCTTACGTTAGTGTTAGCACCTTTAGCATCGTAAATACAAGTATTGTTGGCATTTTAAACACAAATAATAAGTAATCAAATATACCACATTTGCAAGAATCTCAAAACACAATGATCACATTGTGAGCAAAATGGTTTCAAAATACACTGAAAACAGTAACCCGGAAGTATAGGGGGTATGGAGCTTGCAGCGTACCCTGGTGTAGGAAAAACCATCCATATGCTGTCTGATTCAAACTATTTATACTAACATTTTGCACCAAGTCTTCAGTAATTGTAGAAAGTTACAACTACATTCTTTTGCCCAATCATGTGGCTGTCTTTAAAACCTCAATTAATTTCTTTGTTCATAATGTCACTTCACTGATCTGCCCTATTAAAAAAAGTTTCTGTTTTCAAGTTTACCAGATCGTTTTCCAGATCGACACTGACACAGGCTTTTAAATGTTCACAAAATAATGCTAACGGAGACAACTTCTTGTGTAATAATTCTGAAAATTTAGAAATTCATAGTTTATTTCTTAAATAAGTTTCTATTACAAAAAATAAAGTAGATAGCTCAAAATTAAAAGAAATTTTTTATCCTTAGATCTAAATAAATGTTACACAGTTTTTGTAAGCGAATTATTTGTAGACGAGACATAACATAAATTTTTGAAAAAAATGTAAAAAAAAAAATAAAACTACGTAAAATAGCTATGCAAATAACTAACTAAAAGTAAATACTACAGTGATGAAAAGAAACAGTTACTCGTATAACACTGTGAATGCTTGCTGTTTTGCTATAGGTAAAGTCTAAATTTGCATTTACTAAATGAAAATTTTTGAAATTGGTTATCACATGACATACAAAAACACTTAAAGAGTACATGATATTTTCTTTGAAAAACAAACATTAAAATTAAAAGCCATAACAAAAATATTTCCACCATTAGAATAGTTTGTTTCAAAAAATCCTGTCGTTTAGCACACTTTCAAATATATATATTTTTGATAAATAAGATTTATTAAGCAATCAACACAAATGACATGGTTTAAGTTATTAAAAATGAAAAAAGTGTCTACACTTTAACAGGGTGTGTAGCCAAACCTCTCTACAAAAAATAAGCACCTTTAAAGTACTTTTTAGGCACTCAAAAAATTTTTATGCACTATATGCATTAACAAAACGCAAAATAATTTTCAAAGAATTTACAAGATCATGATAAAATAACTAGTTTCTGACAAAGAACTCTTTTCTTGATTATATTATAAACAATAAAAAGGTGCAATTTCAGATAGTGGAAAATGAAGCCTGAAATTGAGAGTACCTTGCAAAATGAGCAGAGTTGCGCATGAGAGTGCAAGAATCTCACCAAACTCAGCTCAGTAATCTAAGTATTTCATCAAACATGTTACATGTTTGCCGCTATCATACGTTATGAACGGTACACCAAAATGGATTGCGATTGAATGAATTGTGAAAACGTTGAATAGAACAATGTGAAAAGCACGCTGTTGCATAATATGCAGCGAATGGTAAAGGAAAAAAAAATCTCATTTTCGAAAAGGGAAAATTAAGTACTTTTTAAAAACATCCCCTGAAAAAAAAGCACCTTTAAGGGCTTTCAAAAAGAGAAAATCAAAAATAAGCACCTTTAAGCACTTTTTAAAAATCTTAAATTACAACAATGCATAACGCTAATTCCATGAAAAAATTAGTTTCTTCTTGAACAAAGTATTAAATTTTTTTAAAACAATTTTTAGGATTGAAGCTAAAATAGCTTCTTGCACCTGCTGTTCAAATTTCAAGAACTTCTAGAGTTATAAATGTGACAGGTAAACTGTTGCTATTATAATTATAGATTTAAGTAAATAATTAGTAACAAAATAATCACTTACCATTATAATACTCGACAACTGTAAATGGTGTAAGGTGAGATGCCCAACATCTCATCATGTTAGCATTCGGACCATAAGTGACCACTCCATCAACTGACCAATCACCTTGATTGAAATCATAGTATGCACACCTGTAAGTAAATCCCTTTGCTTGGGCCGCTGATGAATTTCCAACATGAGTAATTCCTAATTTAACAGCATTCTCCACATCAACTAAGTCAAATTTAGAACCTAAGAAAGAAAGAAATAAGAAGGGGTCACAGTTATTATATCACCAGTTTTTTTTTTCAATAATAAAATTTAAAAAAGAATTCATTAATAAATATTATTTTTTATATAGGAACAAGTTTAGTCATCATTGAAAAATAGTTAGTTATTGTCACTAACTATTTTTCATTATTGTACTTACCATTTTAAATTTTTCAACCATTACCAAATAAACAATAATATGCAACAAATAAATATTAAAAATTATTATATATGTGGAATTATGTTTGCTTAAGGGAATTTAATAATTGCATGCAAAATTTTTTAAATTAGCTTCAAGATACAGGAAAATATGCGACAAATAAAATTAATAATAAGAGGTTCCAATCATTTGTCTGCTCTCCTGACTAAACTATTTTTGCATATTGCTGTTACCCCTTCCTATTTTGATGAATCTGATTCCATTTATTACTCACTTGAGAGAAAGGTTAGAGTGGAATTAACAATTATATTATTTTTGTAAACGTTTATTTTGTTATCTTTTGATGCAGTTCGTTTTGTTTTTGTGATGTGTATTTTTTTTTAGAAATATTTTGGCTTTTTTCATATAATAAATATTTTAATATATTTCTTTATGTAAAAAATATAGATTATTTTTTATAGAGAATAAACAAAAATAGTTTCTCTCTCAAAATGTTGGGTTCTGACTCCACAAATATTGTGGGGGTTCAGAGCCCTCGCACCCCCCTGATTGCAACGCCCATGGGGCAAACAAAAAAAGAAAAAAAATCAATGGAAATATTTAGTATATAGTATAGTAAGAGTACTTAAGATTTAAAAAAAAAAAAAAAAAAAAAAAAAAAAAAAAAAANAAAAAAAAAAAAAAAAAAAAAAAAAAAAAAAAAAAAAAAACAGAATAACAGCTACAAAAAAATTAAAGTTGTAAAGCTGAAAAAAATATCCTCTTAATTCTTAAAACAAAACTTTAATGCAAAAAATATTTTCTGGAAATGTTTTTTTCTATAAAGCATTAAAAAAGATAATCAATTTAGACATTTTAGTTTTAGTCTATCAGAAACGTCTTTACCGTTTTACATATCAGAAACGTTAAATGCAGCGCTATCATGAAAATGCCTATAAAAAAAATTATATACAAAAAATAAAAATAGATCTTAATTTTTTTAAAAATTAAGATCGATTTTCAAATTTAGAAATTTTAGTTTTCCAATTACCGTATATTTAAGAAAAAAGTGAAGATTAAAGTCTAATAGAGACCCTCTTAATTACTGTGTCATAATTAAAACGTCCATAAAAACATAAGTGTTCTGAAAAAGAAAAAGTTAGAAAGAAACCAAACCAAAAATCATTCTTAATTTTTAAACTATAGATTTAGCGTTAAAAATCTTAATTTAACTTTTACACACTCCCGTATCTTTAGAAAAAAGTGACCATAAGAGAATAACGTTCATTAAAAATGCTCTTTTAAAAATGCTATCATAATAAAAACACTAATAAAAAGAAAAGTTACACTTGATGCAATGCGATGATTTTACACTATATATATATAATCTTGCTGTTAAGAATTATCTGGGACTTAGAACGGATTAACAACTTAAATATTTTAAAAGTTACTAAATTTTTTTAAAAATTGCCAATTTGGCTACATTTTTCCTAGATGAAAATTATCAAAATCACTGCCTTATTCTCAACTTTTACAAATATTTATTAGCCTAGGTAATGCAGCATTGGAGTAAGATTTAAAATATTAAAAAGATTAGATCACAAAATGCTTTTCATTTTCACATAACTCTGGCTTTCTTCATTTTGACGTTTCGTGCCATTTTCAAAATAAGCATAGACAGCGCTGGCTTTAGATAGGCTGAACTTGACTAACTCACAGTAGTTATAAAAATAGCACATTATTTGCAAAAAAGGCATCATTTCATATCACGACAGAGCCTTTGAAAAACAGCCTTAACCTAAAAAACTTAGTTTACAAACTTCAATTTAAGTTCTGTTTTTAGTGACAATTACTATAATTAAAAACCAGGAGAAATAATTCCCTTATATTTAGTTTAAAAAACTCACCATCTTCTGGTTTTCGCAGGGTAACATCTAGCACAGGCGATGCCCGTTTCAGTGATGAAGAGTAAGGGGCATCCGCAGGGTACAACGTCATGGCAACAACAATGCCTTCACATTTAGGCTTTTTCTTGCACCTATTCTGCATTCTAAAAGATTGTAAAAAAAAGAACATAAACTGAAAAATATATACAGGAAGACAATAAATATTTTCTTCTCTTTCTATATTAATATAATACTTAAAATATATAATACAATAAATAATATAATATAATAAATATTCTCTTATCTCTTTCTAATTATATTTTCTTATCTAGCAAAAGTCTAATGACTGTGTTCCTCTGAAGCATCCAAGTACAGTACAACTCAGAGAGAAGAAAAAAATATCAGCACGAAAGTATTAGCTACAAAGGATAGTTAGAGATAATTGAGACATTAATCAAGTATAGGCGACCTTTTAAAATGTCACATAAGTCTAAAATTTACAGTAACAACATGCTAGATAATTTATATGCACAAGATAATTTATACTTGCACTAATGATCTTTCACTTTATTTCATTATCAACAGCTGGGTAGAGGCAGGAAGTTATAAGCCATAAATTAAAATAATAATTTTTTGATAAATATAATAATTAAAATAATAAGTTTTAAATAATTTACATAACATGAAATCATAAGTGGATAATCTTAATCCGTAAATACAAATATTGCTCGATTAAATAATCGAGGCAAACACAAAAAATAATAGACAAATTAATCGATTTGCCCAGTAATTTTAAATGCATAATGCAAATGATAGTTTAATTAAATCATTATTTTTTGGTAAAGTAAGCAAACGTTTAGGTTATGCATAGAAAAAAAACATCAAGTGTGGATAAAAAACTTTAAAGACGGTAGAATATTTAAATGACAAATTTAAGAACTAATCACATTATTATTAATTTTAATTGTTTTTTTTTTATTGCAAAGTGAGGTTTACTGAGCCTTAAAAAAGGTACATCACACAATATCATCTTATCAATTTAATAAATTACTTGATTTAGATAAAACGAAAAACTTTCTGTGAACATAAAATTTTAATCAAAAACTTTCTGCAAGAAATTTATTGACACTTCTAACAAGTTCCAACCATTTCGTTGTCACGTAATTTTGATGAAATTTTTCCAAAAATCACTTTAGAAAGGGCTTTTATAAAAAAAAAAAAACTATAGCAATTATTATACATATCAGCATATATTTCATTAAATTTAGCAGTTTTCTGAAGTTAACGGTTTTATGAAGATTATAAAACGAGTTATTCACTTTTTTTTATGCTCGACTTTCTTTATATTCTTTATTTGTATATTTAGCATATATTTCATTAAATTTAGCAGTTTTCTGAAGATAACGGTTTTATGAAGATTATAAAACGAGTTATTCACTTTTTTTTTATGCTCGATTTTTTTTTTATATATTCTTTATTTGTGTACATAAATGTTCGCTCAGAAACATTAATTTTTTTATAAGAATCACTTTTCAATTCTTTTACACTTATATAAACTTGCTTTTTTGTGCTACTCATTTTAAAAATATATGTGGGTCAGAAAAAAAAAAAAAAAACGGATATGGTCCCAATAATTTGGCCACGAGAACGCTCAAAAATTTGGACCCCTTAATGTTAATTTCACTTTTTGTGTATTTCACTATACCTTGAGAACTTTTTAAGCAAATTGAAAATCTTTTACACGCAATTATAAAATTCATTTATCCAAAGATAATTTCATACAAAAAATAACTTTAGCGAATATTTATTTTTTTCTTATTTAATTTAAGAATGGTAAAAAAAACATTGAATTGTAAGGTATAAAAATTTTTTCATCATTTTAAATAATCTAATTTTATAAGGCAAAATTGGGCCAAACCAGACCAATAGTTCCTGAGAAATCGAATTTTAAGTATCTGACTTTTTTGAAGTTCAATATCTCGGAAACTATTTGACCGACTTCACTCAAATGTTCTATTTTGCCATGTAAAATTATTCTTTAAAATTATGCAAAAAAAAATTGTAGACCTTACAATTAAATTTTTTTTTTACAATTCTTACATAAAAAAAACATTAAAAAATAATAAATATTTAATAAAAATTCTTTTTTGCATGGTAAACAAATTTTATAATTGTGTGTAAAAATTATTCAATTCGCTTAAAAAGTTATTGTAGTATAGTGAAGTACGCAAAAATTAAAACTAACATTAAGGGGTCCAAACTTTGGAGTGCTCTCCTGACCAAACTAATGGGACCACATTTTCCAGATTGAAGTTACCCCCTATACTTTGGGAATCAGAAGTCCGAATCCATCAAAAAACAAGATGCATTTTCAGATAAAGTACATTTTTGTGTCTGATTTCGTAACTTAAAATATCGTCTGCACTTATTAAATAGTATATTTGAGATCACACCCTCAAGCCATTAAGATTGAGTCCTAGAACGTGAAAATCCAATCATTGGATGAAGAGTTATTCAGAGTGGTTCTTTTTTTGCTCACTGTACAAAAGTAAATGGCATTAAAACTGGATTGTTTCAATATATTTTATTACTAAAAAATAATGTAATCAAATAATACTTAATGTAGCCATTTATCAATAAGAGTGATATATACATATGTGAAATGAAAAGTTCTTAAGTTTTTTTTCTTTCTTTTTAATAATATGTGATAAAAAATATTTTTTCATGAAGGTGAATTTTTTTTTGTGAACGGTGTTCGTGTATATTATGCTTATCTGATTATAAAGAGAAATACAGTTAATTATTAGCGTAACAATTGTTGTACTAGTTACAAATGTGATAAAAAATAATTAATTTCTAAATCTTACACTTCTATTGCAGCATCTTCAAATCTCACAGATCCTTCCACCATGCCATTTCTACCCATCGCTTTAATGTAAATAGGGTTGCGATCAGGCAATTGTTTGAATATCAACGTTGCTGGATAATTTGAGTAAGGCGAAGAAAGTAATGTTTTACTTCCCATAGGTGCACTCACACTAATCTTATCAATGAAAAAGTGTTCCAGTTTCTTGACTTTTTCTGAAACAGCAGAATTGGCATTTTTACACTGGAGGGCTTCCATTCCATTTGAATAACCTTCTGACAATATGGATGTTGGTATTTTGGCCTGTAATGAACAGTTGTTTTTAAAGTATATTTAAAAAAAAACTCATTAGTTTTAAAATATTTAGATATGAAGTTAAAAAATGATGTAAAAAGCACAAACTAAAAAAATGAATAAGATACGAACTAAAGAGGTTAAGTCCAAATCTAATTCAGGATAAAGGATCAAATTAGTAATTTTAAGTACTCAGTATTCCCTCTCCTCCCAAAAAAGGGTTTTCTAAAATGTTTTTTTTTCAGGTGGGCCCCATTTAAAAAATTCACTTTTTTTTCAAGTTGGGTTTTTTAAAAATTTACTATACTAGATCAATAGGTTTTTACTTCAAAAGTAAAGTAATTGAAAATCATTGTGATTTAAACAAATTTTCCAAGCAATTGAAAATAGCTTAAATTGAATTCAACTTGTCTTGAGAGCATACTAACGTCCTTTTACTTTGAATAGAAAAGTAAAGTATCTGTTCCAAAAAGTTCTTATAAAGTTTCCAGGTAAATACCGGCCTTATGAACATTCAGCCACCATAAATCGCTGCACTTTTTTTCTGTTAGGCATAATTTAAAACTATTTGAAATTGTATATATTGAATATATACAATTTTATATTTGTATATATTTAGATTAAATTGAATATATGTAAATACATATATATACATTTAAAAGTATTCAATATACATAATTAATTGAATAGAAGATATTTGAATTGAATATATTTATTTGAATTTTTTATTTGATAAAAAATGCAATTATGCTTGAGAAAAACTACAATTTTTATGCCAAGATGCTTCTTATTCTGGCAATTTATAATAAATATGCAAAACGTTTTGTTCCTCTATGTAACATATAAATAAAATAGTCTAAAATGATTTTTCAATGGCACATTCCTACAGACAAGATAATTGGTATAGTTTCATAATTAACCAATACCTATAATTTAATTATTTATTTAAATGCATTTACTTGTAACACTTATTTATCATTCTTTCTTAACATTATTCTCTACTATTATTATTATTGGTATAATTTGATTTTCATTCTTATTCCAATTAAAGTAATCCTGCAATATTACCATATTATGTAAAATTTTATAAAATACATATAGAATTTTTTTTTAAATGAAAAACGCCTTAAAAACGGTAAATAATGTAACTATTTTTAATTATTTGACTCTAGATAAGTAGATTTACTTTTATAATAAGCTTTATATAAAACTATTTCCAGTCAACATATGCAATTACAAAAATGAACACAAAACTGTTATTAGAAATTAACTTCACGCAATATTACTTAACAAACTGGCAAAAAACATAATTAACTCTGTACGTTGCAGGAAAAGAACATAATGCCACTAAAATTTATGTTTGAGGAGTACAGATTTTAGTATCTTTTACCTCTAGAGGAAGTTGGATATGGTGTTTTTTAAACTGCCTAATCTCCATTTATTATGACAGGGCATAGTGTCCTATACCACAAGATAGAGAGAAAATCTACAACATAGACACATGATCACCTGAACTTTAGAAACAAACAGATAGAGTATTCTTTACCTCCGACATTTAAAACTTATTTCGTAACAGTCAAAAATTAATAGGAATTTAAAAAACAAAACTATATGTTGTAATAGTAATTGTATAAATTAAATTCGTTTAAATTTTATTCCAACAGATTCCAGATCTAAGCCTGTGCTAAAGCAATAAAAGATTAGGGATTTTTTAATTGAGAAATTTAAATTTTTTACGTAATCTGTTTCTCCCTAAGAAATGAAAATAATATCATGGCTATCTAAACCCTATGCAAAATATGGTTACAAAGCAACAAAACGAGTTTAAATAGTTACCAAATACTTCATTTTTATGTTAGAAGCAAATCTTGCTAAATCATCAAGAACTCAGGGAAAAAAAATTAAAATGGTTCTGAAAAAACACAGTTTTTCTTCTTAAAAAATCTGATCAATTCCAGATTTTTAATGAAAAATTAAAGTAGGCTGGGCTTTTTCAACAAAAACCAGGTTTTTTCAAATCCTGCATAAAATACAGATGGTTTGAAAAATTATTTTTAGGAAAATTAAAGGAGACATAATGTACAGTTAACTGTATTTTGTCCACAAAACCAGATGTTTACTCTAACCAAGTTTCAAAATTAATTAACAAGTTCATCAACAGATGACATTGTTGACTGGAAAAAATTATAAAAATTATTTTCTGCTGCATGGCAGACAATTTAAACTGAAATATTTGCATAAGTATCTGTTAATTTTGTCTTCAAACTGCACCACTTTGTTTTTGAAAATGCTAGATAGACCTAAAAATCATTATTCTATAGTTCTTCACACTCAGTAGGGTCATCTGTTCCCTTTATTTAGTTACTTTTTATTAGTATTACTAGTTTTAAAAAATAATGAGAATGAATGTCCTGGTTTTCTGAGCAGTACACTCCGAAACAATAATTTTTATCTCCTTCCATTTTCTTCTTAAAATATTTTTTTAACTGACTGCCATTTTTGGGATATCTGGAATTTTTGCAAGTATATATATAATATCTATATTAGGAAGAAAATACTTACCTTGTAAGCAAAAGCAAGAGTTGTGGCTCTTTTAATAACATCCAATGCTTTTAATTTCACAGTGTTGTCACTTTGTCTTAAAAGAGGCTTGGTAAAGCTATAAATCAATGATAACTGACCGGCATCAATGTACCTGTTTTTAGATACATAAGCTGCAGCATCTAACATGCGCGTAATTTCCTCCTCTGAGAGAGGAATGCTTTGATCTGTTGATGCAGTGAGAAACATGGAGAGTGCTGGGAAAAGGTTACCTGGAATAGGAAAAAAAATAGAAGAAATTTAAAATTTCCATCAAAACAATTTATAGGATAAAAGAAGAATTTAATATAACATGGAATCAGTTTTCTTACCAGAAGAAAAAAAAATAGAAGAAATCAAATGCTTCATTAAAAAAAATTTTAAGACAAGAAAGAGAAATTTTATATAACATAAAATCAGCTTCTTACTAAAATGATAAAAATTATAAGCTATTTAGTTCTTCATTAAAACAATTTACAGGGTATGTAGAATCAGAATAGAATCCAACATGGATAAGGAAAAATCCAGTAGATTTTATGAAATAATCTAAATTTCATGGTCATTGTTACATAGTATGCTAGCCGTTTAATGAAAAACTTGTAATAAATGTTTCATTAGTAATTTTCTATGATTTAAATAAAATTCAACAGATGAGCACACCAAGCTGAACATTGCCCTGATATCATGACAACTGCAGTTGACACATAATACCTGTTTAAGCAATTATATAATTCATCTGGTATAAGTTTCTCATTTGTTCAAATGGAGAAGTTCAAAAATATATAATCTACACAATTTAACTCTCAAATACACTTAAACTTAGAAACTCTACTAGTTTGCTAGTAATAGTAGTAGTTATATATCTAAATAAGGGCTTACCTCCAATTTAAATTTTCTTACTAAAATTTTATCAAAAAAATTTTTATTTTGGTTTTTATTTTAATTCAAATTAAAATATAATTTAATACCAAGATTTGAAAAATAATAACCTGTATTTGAAAAAAAAATTGACCTAAGGAAAGTAAATTGTGGGACTCAATAAGAAGAAACAAATTTGAAGTAATTTTACTCATTAACGAGATTTGTAACAATTCAATTCAAATAGGGGATGGGTTTTATTGGTATTAAGAATTTTTTTTAAAAATTTCAATATGAATGTTTAGAGTTATATGTGGCAACATGTATATATAATATTATAGCTATTATATATTTTAAGGACCTTTTTCTTTTACTTTTGATTGACATCTACTTGAGGGTGAGATTAAAATAGAGTAAAAGTTTTTATGAAAGAAAAATAAATTCTCTACAGCAATGAATAGTTAATCAATATAAAGCACTCAAATTTGTAGTAACTTGCAAACAAATTGAAATTTCAAAACAAAATTCGTATTTTCACAAATAAAAATGGCTTTTGCAGTACGTCAAATTTTAACTCAGTAGTTGCATTTCAGATTTATAAATATCGGCCAAATTGGATAATTTGTGCAAGTTTAACAGCTAATAATTCTTGAAATAATTGTAGGCAGGGTGATTCACTTTTGAAAAAGTGATTAAGAAGGACATTATTATAACTAACAAATAGAATTAATAATAACTAATATGTAGAACTAATACTAGTAATAATAACTAACAAGTAGACTTAATATTTTTTTTTTGAACTGTGGTAAAGACAATTTTTTCAGGGTAGTTAGGATTTATTTAAGGAAAAAAAACACGAAAAAGATACTCACGATTATCGATAGCAAGTTTTGCTTTTTCGATCAATTTATTTCGGGCTTCCTCTCTATTCACATTTTCTGTTACTTTGATAAATGGACCAGAATAAAGTTTGCAAAGCATATATTTGTCACAAACCTTTGAAGAAAAAAATAAAAATCAAAGGAGTTAGTCTAAAAATCTTGTCATAAAGATTTTCAATTTAGCAGTGAATAGCTTTATTAAATATACATAAATAAAACTTCAGCCTGAAAAATCGTGAAAGTTTAAATTTTAAAGGTCAACTAAAATGACAAAAATAAAAGAATTTTTGTTTAATTTTTGGCTTTAAAAGGAAAAAAAACATTACGTATAATTTTATGAAATTTTTTTTTATAAGTGATTTTCTAAATTTTTTGATGCATTATATTTCTTTCACTTTGATAAAATTATGAATAACATAATTTCAATAAAATTAAACTTGCGTGAGCTAAAAGCAATATTTCAAATGATAATGTATTATTTTTAATCAGAAAAAATGTGCATTATGTAATAATTAATGAATTCACTTTCAAAAGCATTTTAATATTCATGATTGTTTATTAACAAATATATTTAAAAGTTCAACTTAGAGTTTATGCTTACAGTAACTTTAATAATTAATAAGAAAATTCTTCATGACTAAAAATAGAATTTTTAAAGTCAAATTTAACACATACATAAAATTAATATATTTAAGTATTTCTTCTTTTGCAAGTAAATGTCTGGGCTACCTCATGTATAAATCTTACAATAAAATGAATACGACATTTTATAAGAACGGATTTAATTATTCAGAGGTAAATTATTTTTAAAGATCTAAGACTGAGAAATTTTTTTTTATTTTTAAAAATTAACTTCTTATTATAAATAATGTGTAATAATTCTTAGGAACACTACTTTATTATTAATTATTAATGGAAAAATAGATATCAGAATTATATTGCTTAACCAATTACTATTATATTACTCTACCAATTTCAGGTGGAACAAAAAAAAAAGTATGCACTATTTTTAAAATAGTTAAATAATTTTAGGCAAAAACTAAAAATTAGAACACCTGATGTTGAACTTAAAAAAATATTAAACTCAAAAATCCAGCTATATACATAAATTACAAAAATAATAAATACCACTTGAAGAATTATAATTAATTGAAATATAAATAATAAAAAACAATTAAAAATAGAGAGAACCTTGATTATTCCAATTGGTTGGAACTAAAGCTGACTCAGCTTACAAAAACCTGAATAATTGAACAACTTTAAAAAAATGTCGTTCTATACCAATAGTGGACCAAAAAAAGGGTTACAAAAGTGAATATTTTTGCCCAAACTAAACATAAAATACCTTATTTACTATGGCACTTATCGTCACTTAATTAAGAATCACAACAAATACTTCTAAAGTAGAATTCTAGATAATTTTGAAATTAGCTATTAAATAGAAAATAAATGTCTTTCGTAAATAAGATTTTAATGCATTCAAAAATACAACTTTAAGTAAACTCCTAATGCTCATGGGTGCTCACAAGGCAAATTGAGAAATAACAGTTTTTTGTCTGAAAATTTACTCTTTAAGTTAGCTTATTAAGATAATTAAGAATAACATGTGTTTTCTAGTACATGTTTTAAAAGCAAATGAAATTGGAAACACATTTCTACCTATTCCAATTCTTGGAATAAGAAGAAATTTTTTCTTTATTAGAGAAACTATTTCCCTCTCAGTTTGGAGAAAAAGGCAAAAAACTCATGTCAAAAGAACTATGGGTCAATATGGATATTCGACCCATTACTTTCAACTCAAAACAATTTGGGAAAAGGGGAGAAAAACACAAACCATTATTCTCCACTGAAAAAAAATTGAGGGAAGGGGAGAAAAACGCATGTTATCTGTCAATATGGATATTTGAACCATTATTCTTCACTGAAAAAAATTTGGGGAAAGGGGAGAAAAACACAAACCATTATTCTCCACTGAAAAAAAACTGGGGAAAGGGGAGAAAAACGCATGTTATCTGTCAATATGGATATTTGAACCATTATTCTTCACTGAAAAAAATTTGGGGAAAGGGGAGAAAAACACAAACCATTATTCTCCACTGAAAAAAAATTGGGGAAAGGGGAGAAAAACGCATGTTACCTGTCAACATGGATATTTGAACCATTATTCTTCACTGAAAAAAATTTGGGGAAAGGGGAGAAAAACACAAAACCATTATCCTCCACTGAAAAAAAAATTGGGGAAAGGGGAGAAAAACGCATGTTACCTGTCAACATGGATATTTGAACCATTATTCTTCACTGAAAAAAATTTGGGGAAAGGGGAGAAAAACACAAACCATTATTCTTCACTGAAAAAAAATTGAGGGAAGGGGAGAAAAACGCATGTTATCGGTCAATATGTATATTTGAACCATTATACTCTATTATAATAAAAATATTTGAAGAAAGGGGGAGAGGTATGTTATTGGTAAATATGGATATTTAAGATCCAAATAAATGACACTTTATTGTACTTAGTATAATAAACAAGTCAGAAATGCTTTAAATTTTCCCTTTCAATTACAGACAAATTTCAGGCTCACCCTTTTTAGCAATATCTGATTTCGTTCACTGACACTTTTTTTGTGCCAAATTTGAACATGATATTTAATAAAAGTGACAGAAACAACATGTATTTAGCATAATACAAGATAATATAAATTCAAAGCATTAAAATTTCTATTCAATATTCAAAAAGGAAAGACTCACAGAGACAGACATTTTGGTGCCGTTAGAACTTTGCTTTGGTGGTCCAATCACATTGAAAATAGTGGATGTTTGTGGAGCAGTGAAAGGAAACTCAGATGCTTCAGAATAAACAAATAACTGGTAAGTAACAGGCTGTCTTCCACTTGGAATCGAGCAACCAGCTATTTCTATATTCGCCTATAAGTACAAATGTTGAAAGAATAATTATAAAGATGAAAGTAATAAGGTCATACAAAAACATAAACTGTACACAATTATTAATAGAAATACAGATGCTAGCTTTCCAATCAAATTATCAGTAGAAGAACAATAACATAGAAATATAGCTAGTTACTACTTAATTCTAAATAAATTGTTGTTTCTAATGTCACTTGCAATATCAGCAAGCCTGCTTGGTGAAACCAAGCAAATTTAGAGCAGAGGGTGCATTTCTTATTTTTTCGGAGGCACTATCTTTCGCCAAGAATACAACTTCAGCCACATACTCTTCACAGCCTGTTTTATAGGGCGGACCCATTCATACATCCACAGATTATAATTTTGACTTCAGAATACCTATTTTAATTTTGACCTATGATAGATCTCCAATTCAGTACCCTCAGACGTTTAACTGTTATGGGAACAAGGAGGACTTTGTGACCCAAGAGATTTAATGTGCATCAGTCACCATTTAGGCGGGCAGGAATCGAACTCATGATCTCTTGCACATGTGCCTAACATCCTATCAACCAGGCTATACTGGCTCTAAATAATTCTATAATATTAAAATTATAAATCAATTTAATAATAAATAAAAAAAAATTAACATTTAGATGAAAGTAGTAAATCAAAAATTGATCACAATACTGAAATTTTATAATTCATTATAAAAAAATTAAACTGATTACTTGGAATAAAATATTCTGTAACCAAAATGCAGCAAGTTTTTGGTTGAGTTAGAATTAGCCTTTATTATCTTTTTATCATACTTCATCATTTGAAAAACAAAACATTTTTACTTACAGTATATGAGATTTGATTTAATGTTTTGTCATTTTCTAAAAGGAGGGATTAGGTTTCAGAATAGCTTGTTAGAACGGGAAAAAAGGGTTATTTGCTTTTTAATACTTTTTGTTACTATCAAATTCGTTAAGTTTTTTATGTATTGTTTTTAGAATTACCAAAGGAGTGGAAACAAAACATAACAGGTTAGATGCAAACACCAAAATTTCATTATGCTATGTAACAATGGGGGAAAAAATCTTATTTTAAACAGATTATTACGGAAATTCTAAAAAAACCCATCATTTTTGTTATTGAACCATAAAATTGTAATCATAATAGTTGGCACTTCTGGATAAATACAAATATGTTGTAATAAAAAACTGCTTTATTAATTTCATAAAGCTTAATAGCTAACAATTAAGAAGACTTTAAACAATTTCATTTTACTCTCAAACATAACAGCATTTATATATTTATATTGTTTTATAAAATTAAGAATGTAATTAAATTGAACTTGGCATAAACAAAGAATGTGTCAGTAACAAAAAGTTGTTTTCAGAAGAAAAAAAAAAGGTTTTATGATAACTTCATTTTTGTTGATAAGTTGTTGAATCATTGTTATTTACATAGATATAAAAATAATAACACTTTAGAGTTTCAAATTATTGTAGTTATAAGCAAGAAAAGTCCCAACCTGAGGATCAATGAATTGCTTGGAACACACCAAAAGACACACTACACTGAACTATTTTTATACATTTAGTCTTAAGAGGAGATTATAACTAAAATAAAGTCTATGCACACAAGATTATTTATGATCCATTGATCTGGTATTTAAAAATCTTATGCACACTTTAAATTTTGTTTTATTTATAGGCTACATATTACATGATTTTTAACAATATTTTATTTAGAATTTGATGGGATATACATTTAAAGTAATACAAATTCAGATTAGTAATTAACTCAAAATGGAAAAATTTTTATGAATTTTTTTCATTTGATTCTATTTAAACTAAGAGTGTTTATTTAAATAATGAAAAATTGTATAAATAAAAAGATTAAAAACAAACAAACTAGGGTTGGTTTTTTCTTTAAAAAAACAAAACAACAAGATTTAGTTTAAACTAACAAATGCTGAATATAACATTACATACTCAAGGTAATGAGATCAAAAATAGTTAAAAAAAAAAACTGGGGTACCTTAGGGTTGTGTGACTCATGTTTATTTAGAAAAGAGTAAATTTTCAATGGATAAGTCTGAAAGATAAATATCAACCTCGTTGACGTTGAGCAAATATCGATGCACACTTGAACAAATAAATTTTAGCTAAAGCAATATTATTATTGCTTTTTAATCAAAATCTTACCATTTCATATTCAACATATGGCTGTGCTGTAAGTTTGCACAAAGAAACTCCAGGAACAGCATGGATTATCAAATTAGCACTGCCACAGGCTCCATTTTTATAACAAGCATTTAACCCAATAAGATATACACCATGTCCCACTAGAAAACCTGGAATAAATATATATAATATGAAAATGAGATGAGTAAATAAAACTAGAAACATTTTAAAACATTTATTTAAGAATTTGAACAAAGCTAAATTAATACCGGTTAAAGAAGAAATAGTTAAAACATAAAGAGAGTAGGCCTCACCATGATATTATAGCAAAAAAAAATACCATTTGTTTTTCTTACTATGGCCCCAAATAGTGGAAAAATAAAGATGGAGGTACAAAATTTTTTGTAATGTGTAATGTTGGGATGATTCAAATTTACAATTTAAGAAAGCAAGATCGGTTTTCAAAGATGGGAACCAATGGCAGAACACACTGAATGACAAATTTGACCAAGGCCATGAAGAAAAGGAATAAGTAGAAACTAAGAGAATTTTAAAAGGTGACTGAAAATTAAAATGATTGGCTCATAAATGCCCAGTTTAGCACTGGGCATAAATAAAATTTTCTATGACTATGGACAATCATACAATGAACAAGCAAATCACTTTTCAAATTTTGTTTAAAATTACATGTAAGTTATGCCAAGAATTAAGAGTTTCAATGCTTGTCTATTGCATAACACTGCTGGACTGAAGGCCATAATTTTGATTTTTTCACTCCTGTTATTATTTAAAGCCGACTTTGATTTTTGGGAGATCTTTCATATAATTAAAAACAAAAATTCATCAATTAATGTTCTTAATGATGTTCCACATTTGTCAAGTATTTAGAAAACATTTTTTAAAATTATTGTTTTCACTTCAGATGATGAAAACTATCAACACTGACTGAACTTCGTTATAAATATCATTCATTTTGCATAATCCTTATTTTTACCATTTTACTGCAGATGAAGATGCATCTTTCAATAAATTATTCTTTATTTTAAAGAAGTCCTCATTCTACCTTTGTTTTTTAATCATATCACAAAGAATTATTCTGTATTTTTACATTGTATTTATAATTTTTTTTTCATTAAAAAAAAAACAGTAAAAATGAATAATTTTTTATTTTACTTCAGTTATATTTTGAGAAAAAAAATAATTATTTTGTAAAAAAGATTATTAAAAAAAATTACCTTCTTCAAGAGAAAGGATTGATTTTCCATTTTTAGTTGTTTCAGTGTATGCTGATGAAAAACCTATATGAAACAGGACATATTAAAATAACATTTTTTAAAGAAAAATTATCTTTCTTTTAATATTTCATATTTTTCGAACATGACATAAAGTTTGAAAATATAAATATGTTTATAGAATAAAATTTATGTTAAATAAGTAATATTTAATTTTTAAAAAAAAAAATTCTGAGTTAAATTTTAAATATAATGAAAATAATAAAATCTGATATGCATTTTATTCAATATCATACAGCTTAGATTTTATTGTCAAATAAGTTTTAAGATTTATAACTTAATATTACAAATTTTAGCGCATAATACTAAATTTTTTATAAAATATGAGGAAGAGAAATAAATGAAGACAAGGAAATAATAATGAAAATCAACAAATTTTTGAAAAAGGACAGAAATAAATCACCTTGAAAATTTTTTCAAATAATTTTGATTTATAATTGGAAGCTTACAGGAATAGATGTTTATAAAAAATTAATAGTTTATAATACTATTATTGCTAATATATAGTATGTACTTTTTGTTACAAAATATTAGTAAACAGTAGTTATGTGATAATGTTCAAAACTAATTTGCTAAAATGACTCCAACAGATAAGAAAATAAAAATGCACACAGTTAAATGATGCAAAGTAAAATACTTAAAACAAAAAAGTTTGGGTTGACAACATTTTGCCAAGAGTGATTTTTCTGATTTAAATAAACATAAAGTGCAAAAAATAATAATAATAAAAAAATGGGGCAACTGAATAACTTTTGATCTCATTATTGGATTTTGCATATTAACAAACATCTTAATTGTTCAAACTTTGATATTCCATTTAATATAGGCAGACATCAATTAAGTTAAAAAATCAGACATATAAACATACTTCCTCTGAATTAATAAGCCTTTCTTCTAATGGTTTATGATTTTTAACCTTCAACATATGGGGGGGGGGAGGAGGAGGAGCCATATGCTTTGAAATATGGTCATAATAGTTTAGTCACAAAAGCTGTCAGAAGTCTGGTCTCTTTAATGTTAATTTCATCTATTACAAACTTCAACAGATCTTTGGAATTTCTACACAAATCAAAGCTTTTAGCAAATAATTATAAAACTCTTCTGTCTTGGTTTAACAGTTCCTGAGAGATTTTTTTTTTTTTTTGGAATATTTATGACACAAAAATTTAAATTCATATTTTGTAGTTTGAAAATTTAATGGTAAAATGATATGTTTATTCAGAGAAAACATGCTTTTGAGTATGACTTTGTAACTCATTTAATAGTTATTATAACTTATTTAGTTTTCCGTTACATCATCATGATTGTAATTTAGTATCGACAATACGATCATTAGATCAAAAGTTCCACTTCTTATTTTGTGCCCTATACATAATAGAATTTTTGAAAAACTTAAATAACCAACGTAATGATACAAGATTACCTTTAATGTCCCATTTTATGGAATCCACTTTTGATTTCCCAGATGTAATAGAAGCTTGAATAGTGACCCGCAAACCAGCAGGAATATCATAAGCTCCAGTAGAAGGATGTCGTTGTACACGATTTGAACCACCTTCAAGGACAGATTCTATAAGAACCTATTGGCAAATATGATATAAAATTATTAATGAAAAAAGAATAAATTTAGTTAGCAGATATTAAACCTTTTAAAAATAGAATGAATAGCTAATATATTATAAAGTCTTCCTCTTCACATATCTATGTAAATATATATTTAAATGTAATATCACTAAAAAAAGAAAACTTAGATTAATATTTAGTACGAAAAAAAAAATCAAGCAATTGAGAGGGGTAAAAATAGATATTTATTTTTATGATATAAACAAATGAGAATCCTATAATCAGAAATGTAATATCCTGTATATGTAATGTATGTATGTATAAATGTTTAGATATAAAAATGTCTCTCTCTCTATATATATACATGCATATACATATGTAACATACTGTAATATACTTAGCATTTCCCCATTTTTAAATTTTTTTATGGAATAAAAAATACTTGGTACCTGCATTGCAAAATAAGTTTACAATTAAAACATGAATAGTCTTGATTATAAAATATTTTTCCAGAAATAATTAAGAGAAACTTAAAAATCAAAGTTTTTTTTACATATTTACCTGAGGTATATCTTGGTCTACCACACTCACAATGGTGTAAGCAGTAGGGCTGTATTGGTATCGATTATTGGAATTAAATACTTGCAATTCAAATTTCAAATCTTTACCAGCTTTTAAGTTGACACAAGGTATTTCTAATTTTCTACTTCTACTTCTTTCACTTAGTTTGCTGATTGGAAAGAGCAAAGGTTCACTTGAATTTTCTTTATAGTTATAACAAATTAACCCATCCTATATAAATAAAAGTATACAATAAATAGCTATAAAAATGCAGTCCAGAGAAAAAGAGACTAAAAAAATTAAGGGTTGTGATATAAGACAGAAATCATCAGTTAATCATTAGCAGTTAATCATAAGCATCAGCATTCAAATATGAATGAATTATTTTTTTATTAAAAAAATACAGATTGTTATTTGAGTGAAGTAAAGTAGGAAAATAAACTTTTGGTTATTTCACTGAAATCAGAGGTGTAGAAGAGTAGCAAAAAAGGGTATTGTAACAAAACTTATTATAAAATAAATAAAAATTGAAACTTTCGCTTTTTCAACTTTACTAATTTAAATGCAATTTTGTAATTTAATGATTGCTATTTCAACCCAACTTGTATTTAAACAGTTTACAAATTATGATTTGTAATTTGTAATATCATGTTTTGTAAATTACATTTTGTATTCATAGAATTTAAGAATCACACCATTGCAATTATTATGCACAGGATTATATATTGTAAATCCTCAACAATCAGTATTATTAATGAATATGATTATTACTCATGATATAAATTAATGTAGAGACTCAAATAATTTTCTCAAATGCTTAAATGTAAGTTTGAAGAACATTAAAAAAAATTACATAGACAATCAGGGTTCTTCTGAAATTTCAAAAAAAAAAAAAAAAAAAAAAAAAAAAAAAAAAAAAAAAAAAAAAAACTGAAATAATCTTTCTAACCTAAAATTAGCACTGCAATAAAATCATTATGTATTAAAACAACTAAATGTATAAAATGTAAACATAAAATCTATTAATCACACACAGATTCGTTAGCAAATTAATTATATTGTATTTAACAAAGTGAAGGTAAAAAAAATCTAAGAAAAGTGCTCTTCTCGATAAAAAAAAAAGATGCTATCAGTTAAAATAAGCGCCTTCTAAAAATTGAAAGTAAGTACAAATCAGAACACATAGGCAGGTTTTCTACATATTTTTAGTATTCATTCCGAAAAATTTGTTTAATAGACTTCCAACATCTTTGCGCATAGTGACATCACTATTGCCAATATTTACCCTTTTAAAACTTTGTTTAAGTTATTTGCCTTTCTAATTTTTAATAAATACTGGATAAGGGGCTTTGTAATATAATTACTAACTACAGGAATTTATTATTAATTAATGCAATAATTTGAATAACTATTATTATTTATCTTCAAGAGTTGACTGATAATATATGATAAATCAAGATATTAACAACAAAACATAATCAAAATTAAATTATGATTTTGATAAAGATAAGTGTTAACAAAAGATTAAAGTCTAGTAAGCATCTGTACATTTAAGATATTTTAATAAAAATAATTTAAAGTTGATGATTTGATAAGACACAAATATTCATTTGAAAAACTTTCATTAAATATAGCACAGAGTTTTAAAAGTAATAATACTCTAGGATGGTCCAAATGAATAATTTAATTAACAAATAACCTCGTCCTTGCATCTCCATTGATAAACTACTTGAACACCTTTATTTAATGCTTCACTTTCTAACAATAAAGTGCCAACTTTGTTTCCAACCATTCTTTTCATAGTGCCTAAAGACAAAAAGAGAGAGTACTATAGATAATATCTTTAAAATTTGTTTCTGCTAAAAATTTTATCTATTAATGCTGAAATCATACCAAATTATAATGGAATTTTGTTAATAATTTCAAATGTTAAAGTCACTATAAATTAGCAAACAGAATCATGCCCAAGAAAATTTATTTAAAATTTCAATAAAAAAAAAAGAAAGAAAGAAAAAAAAAAGAAAAGTTTGTAAAAATTCAGAACAAAATTCAAAATACTGAAAAGAAAAGCTCTTAAAATAAAAAATTGTATGAAATTCCAACTAAAAAAAGATTTTTATAATTGTATTTATTTAAATAATGGCTACCTACAAATAAATAAATTCAGTAACACTTTTTAATCTGGATATTAAAAAAAAAACTCTTGAGTTGTATAGCAAAATAAAAAAAGCCTGAAGCATCAACTTATAACCATATACAAATTACGAATATGAATGTATTTGTATTAAATACATTCAATATATTTAATACAAAAATATGTACAATTAAACTTCCTTTCAGGACAACCACAAAACAAAAGCAACCCCTGAAGAAGGGTTACATGTTCATGGAATTATTAAGATTTATATTAGGGGGAGTAACTGAGTGGCTATTACCGAAAAACGGATACCAGTTGCTACCATAGAATTCCATTTCAAGGTGCAACTTCGTCAACTTTTTTCACTTTTTATGTCACAAATTTATATTAATTCCAATTGATAAATTAAAAAATTAATCAACTGCGAGACACTAAAAACATTTTAAAATGTTATTGATTTCGTAAATATTGACAAAAATCTAGCTTTCTTTTTTATGCATGAATTACAACAAGAACTGTTAGTACACAAAGCAGAGACAACTGATAATGATAACGAGAAGTAAATAGATGTCACTTTATAGTTCTAGAATAAAAACATATTCTGATGTTCAAGAATATTCATTCATTCAATTATGAAATTTATTTTTGTTCTTCATATGTAACTTTGTTCAGAAAATGAACACAGAAATAATTTAAAGTTTTTAAATTTAATGGTAAGGTAATGAATAGCAGGTAAATAATGTCTTTTTCCTTGCAATATACAATTTTATATTCTAATTTTTATTGCTTGCAATATACAATTTTATATTGCAAGCAATTAACACACTGTTGGCGATTTTTTCATTTTATGTTTTTTGAATCATAAATCTGTTCATAACTCTATTTAGCATCCATCTTTTAACATCAGTTACATTGGTTACAGTGGTGTGGTTCTACAAGCGAGAAATCTTATGATATTTTACTGCATTTAAAAAATAATTTTAATTAATAAAAAATAATTAAAAGTAATCCTTGTGAGTTTTTCATGTATTTTGGAAACGTCTCTAAAAAGGCACTAATGGGTTAGTGTAAATTTAATTTAATGAATCTTTACCTTTAATTCCAGATCTCAGTTTGAGCGGGTCAACTCGGAGTTTTATTTGAGAATATGTCACATTCATCAGATTACCAAAATAGGCTTGTGCAGCAAAGAACACTTCAGAATTTTCTAAAACGGTAAAGTGCATTATACTTTATTTAAGAATTTATTCATATAAAATCAAAATTAATTTTTGTTCTATTACTTAATGTTAACTAATTACTAAGTACAGGATTTATAAGTTTTCAATACCTGGAAGAGAATAGGGCTCTATAACATAAACTTGTGACTTTTTGCTTTTAAAATTGAATTTCACTTCAGGATTTGATACAGACCACATTAAGTTTAGGAACTCTGTAGTTGTACTACATTCAGGCAGAGAAACCTCTGCTTCTAAGGTAATTCTAAATAAATACAAAAATAAGAATAATTTCAATAATAAAACTAACATAAACACGTAAAAGTGCTTAATTTTTCTTTTAAATAACACACTACAAGTTTACATTTGTTAATATAAATTTAAGTAAGAATAATGGAATAGTTAAAACTTATTATGAAGAAAAAACCTTATAAGAGAACTTAGCAGATTTGAATAATATACACAAACTCCATTTACAGAAATTTTCTTATTCTAAGGTCCATTTGGCAGAGATTTCTATGAAAGTTTTTTTTCCTGCTTTGCGCAGTCGCACGTTTACCGCCATTACATAATTGGATTTGAATTTTTGGCAAGCTGGTATCAGGTTTTTTCCTTTTATTCAATTTTATAAAAAAAATCCGTCTTTTCAAAAAAAGTTTGTTTTTTGTGAAATTACTGAGAAATTATTATTATTATTTTTTTAATACCTAATTTCTTACTTATGTAAACGCAAATAAAATTACATTCATATGATTTAAAATCACATATCACGATTCATATTTACACAATTTAAGATAGCACATTATGTTTCGTATTTTCAGGATTTCATATCAAATATCGCCTTTCGTATTTGCCCGATTTAAAATCTATTATTAGGAATCGTGTTCAAGGACTTCAAAAATATGCATTGAAATTCCTATTCATGCTATTTTAAAGCTTAACCTCGAGAATTGTAATTAAAGGATTTTAAAATCAAACATCGAGGTTTGTATTAACACAATTTTAAAATTAAATATCGAGATTCATATTCTCATGAAAAAATCAAACACTGAGATTCATATTCACTCGATTTAAATGAAATCTTGCATCCATATTTTTATTAAAACGTTAATAACATTCTGTGGATATATAGTCCTACATAAATTTTTTTCTTGCTCAAGTTTTAGATAAGTCTTCAATTATATAAAAAGTGCTTTGGCAAATAAAATTTTTGGATTTCCGTTTTCAGCTTTTTTGCTTTTTACCAAACTCATTTCTATATAATATAGAGTTTTAGAAAAATTAAAACATTTAAAAAAAAAAATTTCATTTTCAACCAAATTTTGCCGAAAAGGTTGACACTACATACAAGAGATAATTAATGGTTCGCAGAAAGTTTTTAATTGAGATTTTGTGTCGGTAAAAAATGTTTCACTTTATCTAAGTTTGGTACTTAGATAAATTTTTTTGGAAGTGCTCTCATTAAAGTAAAGAAATAAATTAAGGTAGAGGTGCAACTGTTGATGTGGGGCCCACATTAGCTTCTGAACGCAATAAAAATTTTCTATTAATTTAGTTTCTGTTTAAACATTATAAGTTTTCTTTAATTCAAATTTATATTACTCTATAAAATGCGTATATTTTTCGCACTTTGGTTAGAATTTATATCCCCCCAATATATATATATATTTATATATATATATACATTGATTAAATAAATTCAAATAAGTAAAAGTATTTAATTTTCTGCAAATATGTCATTAAGTTTACTGATAAAAATACTTTGTGCTTAGAACACTTACGTTTAAAAAAAATTATCACATTTGCCGCTAACATGACTATATATGCCTGTAGACCCTTCACTCAAAAAGGTTGTGCACACTTAAATTAAGGAAAATAAATTTATAATTGAAAACAAGATTTCGTTTTCTTTATATTATTAATAAAGTTTTACACACTAACCATAAAAATGTCCAAACAGTCTAAAGATTATAAGAGTAGTAACAAACCTTTGATCAACAGAAACAGAGCCTTGAGTCATAACATCAGAAAATGCAGTTACAAGAGGTCCAATGTAAGGCAAGCAAGTAACTCTGTGCTGAGCTTGATATTTTTCATTTCCTGGGTGCTCAGCAGTCAAGACAAATATGTAACTCATATTTACCTCTAACAGTGAAGCATCTAGAGTGAGAGTTGCTGATCTGATTTCTAAAAATAATTAAAATGTGTTAATTTTTCATTGACAAAAATATTTTAAAGTACACCATAGTTAAAATCATACATTTTCAAGTATATCATGATTAAAAATAAATAAATCAGTCACACAGTTTTATTACAACTGCAATATTTAATAAAAATGCGAAGTTTTTCTCGCTTAAAATATAATATACATTTAGTTATTAAAACAAATTATAAACTGCCGGGCATTTTGATAATAATTATACAACAAACTCTATAAAACAAACCTAAACCCTACATCCTATAAGAGAATGTGCTTGAGATACAAATAACAAAGCATCTTAATTTGCATAGTAAAAATATTTTAAAATAATTGGACACAAGCAAAATGTAACATTTACCAAGCAAAGCATCAGCAACTGGTTTCTCAACACGCTGTAGAGTGCGTTCTTCCCTGTATGCAGTCCAGTAAAATGCTGCATCTCCCTTCGGGGAAGTGAAATGCCCCACTAAGGAAAATGTACCACAATATGATACAGTAGACGGACCACTTATAGCAATCTGTCCACTGCTAATTGGTTGAGGATACCAAGCATCAATGGTCTACATGGAAATAGGAGTAAAAAATACAATAAAAATATGTATCTGTAATATATTTATTATTTAAATATATGCTCAGTATGTAATGACCAATTATGAGAAAAGTTTCTTTAAAAGTACTATAAAAATTTTGTAAAATTAATCTTAACGTACCTGAAGAAAATATTAAAAAAAAATAAAGATATTTTTGAATACAAGTTTTCATACAGCACAATGCATTAAGTGCATTTACTAATGAAATAGTGTACAATTTTAATTAATTTTCAATGTTAAATGTATCCATAATAAGTCATCAGGATATCACACAAAACTAATAATAAAATATAAAACAATAATATATTTCCTAAAAAATTAAGTTTTAAATTCCAATAACTTAAATTTTTTTAACCATAAGCTTTTCATGTATATTAAAAAACAATAAACCGAGCAATAAAAAAATTGTTTTATCAGTGGAAATATATTTTTTAACAATTCAGAGAATATTATTTTTGAAAAATTAATTAATAAAAACAGTTTTAAAATTCAATGATTAAACACTAATGACAAATAATTGTTTAATCATTTACAGTTGTAATAAATTATTAAAGCAAAAGGACACATTTGAGATTTCTACATTCAATTATAGATGACTTATATTCTAATTTAAAAAAAAAAAACATCATATACAAGATGATACCCAATGGTTATCCTCAATATATATTTTTGAATCCTTTACAAAAACTCACAAAATAGAATACATATTTAAGCAAAAAAAAAGGAAAAAAAAAAAGAAATTAAAAAATCTAACAAACTATAACAATAGGTAACTAAAAATATCATCTAAATAAGTTTGATTGCCAAAGGAAACATAGCGGAGTAAAAAGGAGATTATAAGAAATATCTTTAAGTTCTATCAGGCACTTAAACTAGTTTTGAATTTTTTTTATTCCCCTTTTCTTATTAATCTTTCTTTTCTATGTTTAAACAATAATTTGTGATTTCTGATGAGTACATTTTTTTTTTAAAAATTTCTTTTTGACAAGGATTCTAAAACTATGTACTAAAAGCAGTCATTATGGTATATCCTGCATATATTCAGTCAAAAAATTTTGTCTATACATCTTATCAATGAAAGCTTTGGCATTTATCACATTCAGAATTGTTGGTCAAATCTATTACAGGCTACATCAATAATATATTTCATTTACCAAAAACATTTAACATGCAATGACAATACAAAAGAATAGGAATTTTTTTATATAACTATGTATAAACAGTAGAACCTTAATTATTTAAATAATGTTAACCAAATTTGATTAAAAAGTTTTTGTCTTTTTCTTCAAAGCAGCAGAATTTTTTTGTTTCTTCTACTTTTTCAATAATACACAGTCATAATTAGCACCAAAAAATCATATTTTTTTTATACAGTCAGCATCGTTTTTGTTATTTTCCATATTCTTTTTGTCCCCTTAAAAGAATTCTATTACCATCAATACCAGAACAAATGCATTAGAGATGAGTTTGAATTCTCATTTGGAGGTCCCAGCCCACCCGAGCCCAATGAATTGTAATCTGAGCCCAAGATACATAAGATTACTGATAGCCCAAAATATATCTTGGGTAATTTCTTCTGTCCTTAGTATGAGGATAACTAATCTTTTGTTTTAACAAATGAAAACAACATAATTAGGAATTAATAATATGCAAAATGCATGTGATATAAAATAAAAAAAGGGAAATAAATGTTTTAAGTTTTTCTTAAAATTTACTTTTACAAAGAACTATGATATACTTGAAGTCTCCATCTTCACTATACACTGAATGTTACTTTTTACTACCAGACTAAATATAAAATAGCACTGTGTCATTTGAACGTCGTAAATTCGCAACACTTACCATAATTGTATTTCGTTCATGTTGACCTGTCAAGAAACGACACTCAGTGCCTGGCATAGCGCCGACTGAAATTCTAAAATTACCAAGACAAAATTTATTTTTAAAAAAAATCAAAATCTTTAGTTATACATCTTAGTCTTAAACTTCACAAAACAAAAGTGCCAAAAAGAAAAAGATCTCCAATTTTTATACCTTATAAATTTATATATTTAATCATGAATGAATCAAACGTTTGCTTAAAAGTAGTAGAGAAGTTCATCAAAATTTATCATAAGTCCGAGCTTGAAGCCTTTCTTCAATAAATGAGCCCACGCTTTATGGGCCAAGTCCATCTCCATTCTATAATGCACCCCACAGCCATGATAATAAATTCTACAGCTGCCTCACAGGTGTAATAGAAAGTTTGTCCCTTGAGGTTAATCAAATAACTGTTTTAATGAATGGAAGAGTTTTGGCTATTTGATTGACATATCGATACATAATAATGTCTTTAAAATAAATACTAAAACATGGTATGATAAATAAAACATATGAACATGTAGATTTGATCTTTTTTGTGAGTAACAAATTAATGTCTTGTTAGTTGATTGCTTTGCTAAAAAATTTTAAAGTGGCAATATTTATTATTTTATTTGTCTTTTTATTATTACTAAAGGCATCAGAGAGTGTGATAAGAACAAAAAAAATCAGAAAATGCCAAAGAATTATTCAGCTTTATATTTAAAACTTGATTGAGAAAAATTAAATAATAATAAAGTAAAACAACAAAATTACATAGAAATATAAAGAAAAAATAGACATTTAATATAGTAGTTTTTCTTTAATTATTTTCACCTTGGGAAAATTCTATAGCTATTTTTAATATAAGTATACAAATATTCAGATCAACAATTTAAAAATTACTAAGTTTGAAATTTTCTTCTAATGTATAGAAAATTCTACCAAAAGTCGTAAGAACCTCATGCCTGTTATTAGTACAGTTTAATCAAACCAGCATGGTTTAAAATTATGCCAAAAGGAAGAATCTGATGTTATCTATGACAGAAAAAATAATACTATTATGGAATTAGTTGAATGGCAAATGAAATTAGAGGAAATCTTTACAAAACTTGTAAGATATTACAAAAATGACAGATAAAACTAATATTGAGATCTTTGTAAAAATTAACTAAATTTTAAAATATCTTTTTGCCTAGTTGGCAAAAAGACATTTATTAAATGGTCATATTAAAATTAGATAATGCATTGCACTATTTGAGCACTTAAAAAAACTAATTTTCAAAGTTTTTGATGAAAATAGATTAAAAAAAGTATTACCCCTTTAATTTGAACATTTTGGCTATACAAGGTAGGTCTTGTCTGAAATGTTTCAGATAATTAAGATCCTACTATATTTTAAAACTTTTTTAGTATATTATGAAAAGGAAATTTTTACAAAAACAGTACTTACTAAGCTATCATTTTTAGTCAAAGCATATGCTTGACCATCTTGTTTCAGCACACTTTTTTTAAAAGTAACCCTGAAAGAATTATCTAAAAAAAATATAAAAATTCAGTAAATGAAAGTAATTGCTTTAATAAAATTAACAAAAATAATTATGTTAATGAATACATACCTTTAATAGGATTTTGAACAGTAATTATGAGCTGTTGTTTAGTAGCCCATTGACAGGTGGCTCCTTCTCCAAGTCTATTCAATGTTTCCGAATTTAAAATTTGAGAGCAGTCACTTAAATTACATATATTGACTGGTCGATCAAATGCTATTACCACAGCACTGCCTTCAAGAACAAATAAGAATTAGAGTTATTTTAAAAATTTAAAGTATTACATTTGAATAGATATTTTATTTAATGAGAATTTATAGAACAAGTACATTAAAGTAAAATTAAATAAGAAGAAAATTAGCAAAATTAATATCTCATTTGAATTTAAAATTGAAGTATTGCTTAAAGCATGTTAAGTATTGTAAAACAAATTGTATACAATAATAAAAGGTTCGAAAAATCTCAAAATTTTTACTTGTAGTGAAAATTATTTTATGGGTTTACTAATTTATTGTTTTCATTGGAGTGAAGTGATCCAAGTTTTAATTTCAATTTATTGAAAACAATTAACTAGTAACAAACTTATTAATGAATAATTCTCCTTTCTTCCAAAATTTTTTTTTAAAAGGAAGTGCAAATAATAAATAGGTAGGAATTTAAAGAAAAATAGGCATAAAAAAACCTTTCTCTAACAATGTTAAATAACACTAAAGACTTAAAGCAGATCTGAAGTGAAAAATAAAGAAGTCAATATTTTTGCGTTTTGCTTTTACAATATACAGATAATAGTGTGAATTTATTTTGAATAAAAATAAACATGACTAGGGGATAAAAAAGAATACACTAATATTCTTTTATAAATTACTATTTCTATAACTAAAGGTAGTAACATTTAGGTCTTACCAAATATAATTGATTTCTTTTTTACTTCAACATTGGTAGTGTTTGTCTACCTGAACTAGTATCTTTTGATGATTTTTGTCAAAGTTGAAGGGGACAGTTATTCAGTGTTTTAAGGCATTTTCATTTAAATATTTTTCAGCTGGGGGCATAAGGATAAAAAATGCATGCCTGATTGGAATTTTTACATGTTCTAATCATGTTATGCAATAAAATTTTTGAGTCTCGTTGCTCCACACCTCAGAGTTCCATATAGAAAGATAAAAGGACTCTGAGATTTATAGGCTTGATAAAGTTTTTAAATTTATTTTTAAATTAACTTTTTAAAACAAGTATCCCAGTCAAAGTTTAAAGGCTATGAGTGTTCTTTAAACTCCAAGCGACAAAAGGTCTGTGTAATTTTTGTCACACTTTAATGTTAAGAAATGCATAATTTTTATGCCTCTTTTAATAATCTTTCATAGAAACTTAAAAATAAATAAATAAAATAAAAATAAATTGAGAAAAATAATTAAAAATAACAATCATGAAAATTGTAAGACTAATAGTGCTTTTATTAGAAGATTTTTTGATTAAATAAATAGATACTTCATTACAGGGTCTTTTTATTAATAAAGAAATTCTATCTAAGTGCATATACAAGATTAACGTTCTTTGAATAAATGAGATATTTGGGAAAAAATTAGCAAATAAAATATTATTTATTGGACATTTAGTGATTTTTTAACGTAATTTATAAAAAAAGTAATGATTTATAAAATAATAATTTATAAAAACTTTCATACAAAAGTCTACAAATATAACAAAACAAAAAAATTATGTTAAATGTTATGTTAAATTATGTTATCAAAGCAAAGGGTTACAAGCATGTGCAGTAATGTATGTGAACCGAATTAAATACAGTAGTACAGCACACTTTATAGAAAATAGTGAAATTTATTATGTAAAATTAAAATTTAATCAATATAACTTTTCGAAACTAAGTATAGAAAATTAAAAGTAAGAGCAGTTGACTGTAGCATTTAAATAAAACAATTGCTAATCTTTACACAGAAAACAAATAAAAAATAATGTCACTTAATAACATAAGATATTTTTGTGGAAATGTTTTATAAATCAATGAAAATGCTAATATCATTTTGATAAAAGAATGTAATTCTATACATACTACTATAAAAGAATATACTACTGAATAAATTTCTTTAACACATTTGCAATTTTGAAAAATTTTAAACATTAAATTAATGAAAGTACATTCAAGTTTCCTTACAACATTTAGTCAAGATAACAGTATTAGGATTAAAAATATTTTAATTAGTTATTTTCATAAAAAAAATGAATTTACATAAAAAAAACATTATATGTACATAAAAAAATAACTAACTTACCATCCTCTGCAATATAGTATCGTTTCATTTCAGGAGGTGATGCATAAAATATGAATTTGAATGAACTTTTGAAAGTATGAATGCCATTAAGTGATTGAGCAATATTCAGCATGACAGATGTACTAGGATAAGGTATAATACAAGTATCCAGAGTATTGGCTTCACTGGGTGCTAGGCGTTTGCTTGCAGGCCATCCTGAAAAATCAAGAATAATGGTATACATAAATTATAAGAATATTTAAAGTTATTTTAATTTATCAGAGCCAAAAGCATGCCATTGTGACACAGCATTTTAGAACATAGAACAATGTTCCTTTCTCGAATGAAAAAGAGAAAAACTATATAGTTGGCTGAACAGAAAATCACATAAGCGCTGAATAGGGTTAATAATAGTCGTTGAGTTAATAATTGTTGCAAACATTTAACAGGAATAATGCAAAAGCAATGTTTATAGAATTTGAAATACATTATGATAATATATAACTAAAATTTAATAGTCGTAATGTCTCTATTAATTAAAACATTGTGTGTAGTTTTTAAAGAAAAAAATTTATTTTTTTGATTTGATACTGAAATACAATTTTTAACTCTAATATGCAATAGATTTATATATAGTAAGAGTTTATGTGTAAGAGTTCTTGGGTAAATAAGAGAAACTTTACGAAAATAACAAGCTTTCAAGAATTTTTTTCTTCAAAATCTTAGGTAAATAAGGGTTCTTAGACTATAAAGCAGTGATTATCAAACTTATTTCTT